CCTCATCCACTTCCTCTTCCGAGGCACTGTAGTCCTCATCGTCGCCGACGAGCTGGCTGTCCTCAAAGTCGACGGCGGCGTCGGTGGTGGTGGGCGAGTCATTGAGCAGGGGGTCATGATCATCCTCGCCCTCTTCGGCTCTCTTGGGCTTCTTCTTCTTCTTCTTCAGCAGCATCCGCCCCTTGCCCTTTCCAATGCCCGAAGAGGTGGAGGAGGGCTGGGCATTTTCAGCCACCGCTTCTTCAACGCCTGCTTCAGCCCCAGCTCCTGCTTCACCGCCCTCCAGCGTGCTCTTCTTAGCACCTCCAGGGCCTCCTCCCTCCTGGCCCTGACCACCTGGACCTGGAGGCCTCGGCCTGGGCCGCTTCCGCCGGCGGGCGGTGTTGTAGGCCATCTTCCACCGCTTCTTCCGCCGCTTCTTCAGCACCGAGCCGGGCGCATTGAGGATGCCGTTGATCTTGTCTAGGGGGCCGGGCGGTCGCCCACCGGCGTTCGGTATCGGGTTGCCACTTTCGTCCAGCACCATCAGCTGCTCGCGGCCGTCGTCGCGCTCAATCTCGTAGAGAACGTTGTACACCTCGGCGGTGTCGTCCTCGTAGTAGATTGGATCGAGGCTGACGGGCGGCCACCAGATGAGGCGGTCCTCGAGCAGCTCGATCCGGGGCTTCTTCAGGACGCGCTCCACGTCGGCGGGGTTGAAGCGCAGGCGCCAGCTGCTAAACAAGGGGGANACAAGGGGGAGGGGGGGGGGAAATCAAAGTTAGTTTGAAGGTAACAGATTTGAACAGTTTTACCCTTCATACCCTTCCTCATCATCACCGGCACCGGCGCCGCCGCCGCCCTCGACGCGCTCAATCACCTCCGCCCACTGGAGGGCGGAGGCAATGTCGTTGACGTTGATGCCCGTCTCGTCGCTGATCGTCTGCACGTCCACGTAGAGCCGCCGCCGACCACCTTTAGTCTTTGGTTTTTCCAGTGCTGAAGGTTCAGCAGCAGCAGGCTGAACAGCTTCAGTGCTTGGTCCCGCCTTTGGATTGGCGAAAGGATCCTCCTCCTCTTTTTGAACTTTGAGATGGTCCTCTTCTTTGACCTCTTTCTCATCTTTATCTTCCGTTTCTTCAACCTCTTCCTCTTCTTCCGCCTCCTCCCACCGCCGCTGCACGTACTCGTAGATCTTCGCCTTCCAGTAGCTGAGGTAGGAGAGCCTGCCCAGCTCGGAGAGGGGCTTCTCCGGCGTGCCCACCACTCCTTCCCGCCTNCGCCTCCTCCCACCGCCGCTGCACGTACTCGTAGATCTTCGCCTTCCAGTAGCTGAGGTAGGAGAGCTTCCCGAGCTCGGAGAGGGGCTTCTCCGGCGTGCCCACCACTCCTTCCCGCCTCGAGAGCAGGTAGCTAAACTCAATGAGGAAGCGGCCAAAGCCGCAGCGCTGGTAGCAGGGCAGGGTGACGATGCAGCTGACGTTGAAGCGCTTCGAGCTGAACTTCTCCTTGCTGAAGTAGCCGATAAAGTGAGATCCTAAAAAAGTAAAAAGGGTTAGAAAAAAACCCAAAACCATTTCGAAATCTTCTCCTTCCCGACTTACCATTTTCATCATTGTAGGTGAGGACGTAGAAGAGAAAGTGCTCCANGAGAAAGAGAAAAATTAGAAAAAAAACCCATAAAATCCTCATCATCTTCCCACCACTTACCATTCTCATCATTGTAGGTGAGGACGTAAAAGAGAAAGTGCTCCACGTCGTACAGCAGCGTCTTGTGGTCGATAAAGAGNACCACTTACCATTCTCATCATTGTAGGTGAGGACGTAGAAGAGAAAGTGCTCCACGTCGTACAGCAGCGTCTTGTGGTCGATGAAGAGCTTCCCCAGGAGGCAGAGATTTTGACAGTAGATCTTCTCCTGACTGCCGTCCACCTCCCACACCGAGAGGAAGACGGGCATGCCCGGAAAGTGAAAGTTGGGAATGACCGACCGGTGGCGGTAGATCTCGTCGCCCGGCGGGTTGGGAATCTTGCACTTGTCCTGTTGGGGGAGATAAATAGGTTAATTTTAGAATACCCAAAAAAAGAATCTAAACACTCACCTTATGCCTGACCATGTTCCACTCGGCGCGCATGTACTTGAGGCAGTACTCGCAGATGATGAGCTTCTGCATCTGTGCGTACTCGTGCGGGTAAAGGGAGGAGTACCAGGTCTCCACCTCGATATTGCCCAGGCGGATCCAGGCGGGACAGCGCAGCGGCTGCGACTGCTCGCGCATCGAGTGCGGGTGGACTGGAGGTCCCGAGGAGGGTCCCGTTTTGCTGCTCCTTGCCTTTGACTTGGCCTTTGACTTTGACTTCGACTTGCTCAGCGACGTCTTGAGGGCCGCCTTCTTCGAGGAGGAGGAGGACTTGTCCTATAGAGGGAAAAGGGGAGTTAAAATGTTTAATCAAAAACCCCAAAACTTTTTTTTGCATTAGGACATACCTCTCTGACACCAACCCCGCCGCCGCCGCCGCCACCACCCACCAGCAGCTGCTCCTTGAGCGGCGTCATAATGTCCTCGGCAATCATCGCCTCCGCCTTGGCCTGCACCCGCTTAAACAGCTCCTCGTCCTCCTTGCTGGGCGGCTGCAGGCTGAAGTCCGCCTCCAGGGAGAGCTCCGGCGAGGTGGCCCGCTTCGAGTGGAAGGTCGCCGGCGACAGCATCTGCTCGGTGGTGGGCTGGTGGTACTGAGGCTGGTGGTGGGAGGACTGCTCAGAGGAGGTGACTGTTCTTGAGGGAGAGGAGAAAGGTCGAGCGGTCTGCTTGCTCGTCGCGGCCGCAGAGGTCGACGCCGAGGTTGTCGCTTCGGCCGCCGCCGCCGCCCCCGCTCTGCAGGCGGCCACCACCGCGGCCACCGTCGCCTCCGCCTCCGCCCTCATCGCCGCCATCTCCGCCCTCGACTTGCGACCTCGCTTTCGCGGCGAGGTAGAGGCAGAGGGCGGCTTTAAAGAGGCCACCGGTGATGACAGCTGGGAAGAGGCGGTGCCGGCATGAGCAGGCGAAGAAACGGCCGCCACTCGCAGCGGACTGGCCGACGACTTTCGCTGCGAGCGCAGCACCGGCGACCGACTGCCCTCGAGGAAGTTCTCCTCTGATGGAAGCTCATTCACAGAAACGTTGGCGGTGGGAGAGGCGTGCAGCATCCGCACAATGTCGTTCAGCTCGCCGTGAAGCTGATCATCCACGCCCTCTTCTTCCTCTTCTTGGTCCTCCGCTTCCATTTGCTGGTGCTCATCTTTGATATGAAAGAGCGGCCAGTGCTGCTGCTGCTGCTGATCAGCCAATCTGACCGGAGTGGCGGTGGGACTTTTGTGGCGCTTTCTCATCGTAAACAACTTCCGCTTGCTGCCCCGCTTGCGCTTTCGCCGAGTTGGACTGGCCGTGGAAGAAGTACTGGGACTGCCTAAGCTGGCCAGTGGTCCTCGAGGTCGTCGCAGCTTTGTCACCGCCGAAGATGAATCTTCGGCAGCCTTTGCTGCTGCTGCTGCTGCTGCTCGGCCGCCCCTTCTTCGGCTTAAGGAGCGCATCTCCTCCTCGTCGTCTTCGTCATCATCGTCATCGTCGACTTCTGCTTCGTCCTCTTCGTTTTCAGACTCCTCCTCCTCCTCTTCACTATCACGGGCGACAAACTCCTCCTCGTCGTCATCACTGTTGAAGGTGTTGTCGTGGTTGTCGTCGAGGATGATCTCCTCCTGCTGCTGCTCCTCCTCCTCCTCCTCCACCTTTGCCTTTGATGACATTCTCTTTCGAGGCTTTCGAGCAGAGGTTGTGGTGGTGGTGGTGGCTGTAGATGACGAGTTTGACCGTCGGCGACGAGCACTTTTGGTGGCAGTTGCGGTGGAA